CCCCACCCGGGGCCCTGGCTGGGGGGAGGCTCCCGGTAAAACCTCTCCTTCCTCAGGCCGTGGGGAAGATGACGGCGGAGCAAGGTTACTGGAACAGCCTGACTCCCCTGCAGAAAGTGGCGGTGGTCCTGGGGATCCCAGCCAGCGCCACTGTCCTCTACATCCTGTACCGCAGGTACCGGGAGAGCCGAGGTGGGTGTTGCAGCCCCTGTGCCGTTCCCACCCGTGGGCTTGAGCGTTCAGCCGCCTTCCCCCCCAGACCCCGACCTCTCCTTGCCTTCCCCAAATGTGCTGAGGTGCTCGGGAACAACCCTGAGGCTTTCAGAGCTGCCTTGGGCCCCCTCCCGGGAGACAGGGAGTCTGTTGGAGTAGCTTTGCCAGCTCTGAATTTCCCTCGTGCTGTTTATAAGCCCCCCGGGGGTTTCCCTTCCCCCGCCATGGGGACCCGCCGCTGTCACTCTGCCACTTTCCCCTCAGAGGAGCGGCTGACCTTCGTGGGAGATGAGGAGCTGGAAATCCAGATGCGAGTACCCCGGGCAGCCATGAAATCCATCATCGGCCGGAAGGGAGCCACAATCAAAAAGGTAAGCCATGCCAGAGGCTTGTGGGGGTGACAAGGAAAGGCCAAGTTTACTGGGAGCCCCAGTAAATGGCAGACGGCGGGGCTGGATCCCCCCCACCCTGTGCCCACAGCTAAGGCAAGAGACGGGGGCTTGCATTGAGGTGGAGAGAGAGGACGAGGGTGAGGAGACAGTGCTGCTGATCTCGGGCTCCCCCAGCCAAGTCTGCCGGGCGAAAGCCACCATCCACCAGATAGTGATGGAGAGCACCCTGGTGTCGGAGCAGCTCTGCGTGCCCCAGAGAGCCGTCGGCAGGATTATCGGTACCTCCCCCCACCCTAGGGAGGCAGGGGACAGCGGGAGGTGTCCCCAGTTTACCCGCCGGGTGTGTGTGGTGGCACAATTGCTGTTGAAAGGCCTGATGGCACAAGCATGTCGGGGCAACCTGTGGGATGGAGGCTGGCTCCTGCTCTGAGTCTGCTCTGCCTCAGTTTCCCGGGGTGCTCTCTCCCGCAGGCCGGGGCGGCGAGACAGTGCGGGGCATCTGCCGCAGCTCGGGGGCCAAAGTGCTCTGCGAGCACGAGGCTGACGCCGGCCTGGCCCCGGTCAGGGTCATCCAGCTTTCGGGGACGCGGAAGGAGGTGGCAGCCGCCAAGGTGAGCGGGAGGCAGCGGGGCTGGGGGACGGCTTGGCCCCCCAGCCCAACGCTCTCCTTTTTCCCCCCAAGGAACTCATCATGAAGAAGCTGATGGAAGACGACGTCTTCCGGAAGGAGCTGGCCCAGTCAACGGCGATGCGGTGCCAGCGCAAGCAGCCCCTGGGCAGCCGGCAGGAGCAGGAGCTGCTCCCTGCCAGGACGCTGGAGCACAGGGAAGAGGATGGGGGGTCATTCTGGGCTGACGGCTCGCTCCTGGGCCAGGCTGCCTTTGAGGAGGTGGAGGAGCTGGAAGATGAGAGTGAGGAGCTGGAGAAGCTGGCGGCGGGGACTGACACAGCAGTACCAAAATTTGAAGGTGAGAGAAGCGTTTGTGTCGTCCCCAAGGGCGCAATGGGAAAACTGTGCTGGGGAGAATGTAATTTCCTCGGGTCCCCTGGGGACCTGCAGAGTGTCGGGAGCCGTTTTAATGGCGCTGGGTCACCCCGGGCTGCCTCCGGCTTTGTCCCCCAGACTCTCTCCCTCTGTCCCTGCGCTGGATGCTGACGTGGCCAGAGCCCAGGCTGGGCAGGATGGCTCAGCTGCCTCCCAGGCTCTTGCTGTTGTCCTTTGTCCCACGGATGGCCCGAGATGGGTCTCTGCGAGTGGGATCTGCGGGTCGGCTTCTGCTCTCGCCTCATCTTGCATTATCCCCATCTCTGTGGGGGGCTGGGGGGGTCCCCTCGGCTGCCCCATCTGGCTCTCACTGGGGCTCCCCGTGCCTCTCCCATAGTTCCCAGTCCTGATTTTAGCTTCCACGCCGATGAGCACCTGGAAGTTTATGTCTCAGCCACGGAAAACCCCAGCCACTTCTGGATCCAGATCATCGGCCAGCGCAGCCTGCAGCTGGACAAACTGACCACCGAGATGCGGCAGTACTACCGGAGCAGTGGCCACACGGTGAGACCCCACGGGGCGCCAGCCTTGTGTTGTCGTCCATGTGTCGTCGTCCCCCCACTCCCCTCACCTGTCCAAGGGAGGCCCCCCCCCCCGTCCCCCCCCCCCCCCCCCCAGGCAGAGCTCTCGACCATCCAAGCGGGGGACATCGTGGCTGCTCCCTACGTGGATGGCAGCAACTGGTACCGAGCCCGTGTCCTGGGCACGCTGGAGAATGGCAACTTTGACCTTTACTATGTGGATTTTGGGGACAATGGAGAGGCCCCCCGTGAGGCTCTGCGAGCCCTGCGGTGAGCACGGACTATCACCTGGGGAGGGACTGGCAGGGAGGGGGTGTATGTGTGGGGGGACAAAAACAGGGCTGTGGTTGAACGTCCCCGGGGAAGCTGGTGGCGTGGTGAGGGCTCGCGGCTGTGTTGCTGGAGGAATTGACTGAGGCCGTTCAGTGTTTTTGTGAAGCGGTCACGGCGGGGAGAGCTGCGGGGAAACCTTGGGGGGGCGGGCCTGTGGCCGAGGCGGGCTGTTCTTGCCAGGAGAGCCAGCAGCTCCCACAGCGCAGTGTCACGGTGGCTTTCTCTCCTTGCCAGGAGCGACTTCCTGAGCCTGCCCTTCCAAGCCATTGAGTGCAGCCTAGCTGGGATCCTGCCCGCCGGTGAGTGGGGAAGGAGTCCTAGGGGGAGGCAGGGGGCCGGATCCGGCCATGTCCCTTCCCTGCAGGTTACGCCCGCTTCTCAGCCGGGCTCTGCTCACCCGGTTCACTCACTGTCACAGGGGCCGAGTGGGAAGAGGCAGCCCTGGATGCCTTTGACCGGCTCACCCACTGTGCCATGTGGAAACCGCTGCTGGCAAAGATTTCCAGCTATGTCCCCTCCGGGCTTGGTGCCCGGCCCAACATCCGGCTCTACGGCCTCCACCATGGGGAGGTGAGCCCCTGCCATGCCCCAGCCCTCCTGCTCTGTCCCCACTCTCCTGTGCTGCCGGCTCTTCAGCCCTGTCTCCTTTCGGCACAGAACCTTGATGTGGGAGCAGAGCTGGTGCGGCTGGGCTACGCCGTCCCCTGTCCCCAGGAGGAAGAAGAGGAGAGCGCCAGGCCACCGAAGGAAGCCATGGCCAAGACGCCGGTGAGTGGACACAGGACCGGGGTGGGCAGCCGGTTGTCCCACCTGGCCTCCTTGGCAGGAGCCGGTGCCAGACCCCTTGGGGCCAGCCCGCCTCCCCCAGCGCAGGGCCAGCTCCTTGCTGCCCCAAAGCCATGCTGGTGGTTGCTAGCGCCGGTTAACCCAGTTCTTCCTGGCGCAGGAGAACGTCACCTGTGGCTCCCTTGCCAGCCTCACCTCAGAGCCCCTGACCTCTCCAGCTGTGACCCCCCTGGCCCCAGCTGGCCTCAGCCCTTCGGGTAAGCCTGGCCAGCCCCCTCAGGCTGGAATGGGCACAGTTACCCCAGCAACTTGCTTTCCAAGGCCTCCCCGGCCTCTGGCACTGAATTCGGCCCCTGGGGCTCCCCCCTGACCTCCCCTTTCTACAGATGACCCCTCCAGCAGCAGCGAGGACTTCCGCATGACGGAGGGCAGCGCCCGGTGACACCGATGCCGCACAGGCTGGCCCTGGGGAGCCTCCCCACGGCTGGCCCCCCCCGCCCCCCACCC